ACGAATACCTCTTTACGAATGAGAATAGATAGGACAGTATTTATTGACCTACGAGTACCTCAAAAAAACAGAAAAATTACGCTTTCCAAAAATCGGTATTATTAAAATGATTTTAAAATAATTTTACTGTAAATTCAATAAAATTGACCTTAAATGTAATAGCATTGCCAGCGATGTCATCCTTTGTGAATTATTTCCAAGGTGACGGTACGCTCAAAATTCATAAATTTGATTTTCCAGAGCAGTGTAGAGGTTAGTTTAAACCCAAATAACTCGAGAACGATACATTTCGGTGATATGAAACAAGAATATCTTTTTTATGGTAAAATAATTGGGCTTTCAATTTTTGGTACCAAAAATAGAGGTTAATGGGATTAAAAAAAAGCTATGACCCAAAAACTGGAAAGGCACCATTATCACCGAAAATGCATAGCTTTTATAAGACTTCCGTTTACACCATATTAAAGAGTGTCTTTTAGTCTCTTAAAATGCAAAGTTTGATGATCGGATAAACGATAACAAAAATATTTTTTGAAAATCATTTTTTCATACCGATTTTTGGAAAGCTGCAATTTTTCTTTTTTATTTAGGTGGGTCAATAAATACCGTACTATCCTCTTTTGTAGAGGGATATTCGTGAATAAAATTATGCCACACATTTTTTAATCACCCGATATAATGTATATCAACTCTCATCATACAAACAAATGTAAAAGTTGAATTAGTATTTTGTTAATATTTTTGTTAATATGTAAACGTAATAAGTATTAAAAATATTGGAACGCGTGTCGTAATTTGACTCTGTCCTAAATAAACACATAATATATTTTTACAACAAAATTAATATATATTTTCGAATTCAATATTAATTGAAAAAATATATTACTTTATCAATTACTGTTTTTATTACAAAATAAAAAATAATATTTTTAGAGATAATAATTATGATTTAATTTTGCATTCATTAAATAAACCCAGCATAATAAAATATTACTAAATTTTTAGTAATCATAATCTTTATGCGGCTGTAATTTCAAGTAAGTTTATATTGGTAGGAATAAAAATAAAAAAGTGGTTAAGAATAGCGCCTAAAGATTTGTAAGTCTGATATATCACTTCAATCCGCGATTCGTTTGTTGGTATTATGGAGCATAGCGACATAATCCGTGGTCGCAGTGCAGTGCGTCTGCAGATGGTGTCTAATTCTGGCAAGCTAAAGTCTTGGTGCCTATTATCTGGTGATTCCCCTGTAATTGAGGCGTAGACGATAAGTCTTTAAATGTGGATGAAATCGTGCATTGGGCAAATTTAAAATGTAGTGCTGTGAAATTGAGCTCCATAACCAGAACAAAAAGGCGAAGTGGGAATGAGGCATCATCCAAAGAGGTAGAAAGCCTGTGCGAGTAAAGCACGCAGTCTCTTAATATGAACGAGAGGGGTACTTCTAGACGCGTTCCTAAATCAGTCTGATTACAGATTGCAAAAGGCGCTCGCTCGTTTACTAACTAACTCCCGGCCCGTTACTTTTATAACTACTTGCCAAGACAATGTAATTAAATGGCATCCATTTGTAATTTCAGAGCGGCGTGCAGGGAATGTAAACGGCGGAACATGGAGAAGGTGTGACTGCGCGGCCCGCTACAATCCCATCGGTACGCCAATAAAAACAAGCAGCTGCTCTGTCAATACTTGCACTGCCGAAGAATAATTAGCAGCAATAGCGACCGATATTTGCATGTCGGGCGGTGCCAAACGCCATCCACCATCCGCATCCAGCAGCAGCTATCAAGCATCGACTCATCGACATCGCCAGACTCCGCGACATGCAAATCTAATTGACCTTGCGCTTATAAATGACCGTGCGGAAGCTGTCATAAGCAATAATGTGTACTATCAGATGAGTCGTCGGCGCCAATGAGCTATGGGGTTTGTATTCGCCGTCAAAAAACTCTTCATTAGCACTCGGAAAATGATCGCTGTCACTGACAGGCCGGCGCTCTCCCGGTCAATCATTTCGTCATTAGCACCAGAATGCTAGACAAAACACATAGTTTAACTAGCCGCGACCTCGAAAATCTTCAATACCAGACGCGATTAATATCATCGATGATTAATTGACCTCAAACCTGAGAAAACTGAAATATTGCATCCATGCAGATGATTGCACACGTCTTTTGTCCTTCTCAAATACAACTCCAGCCTTACACTATCATTCTCTCATTTTTATTCCTTCTTTTACTGCATGTTATTCTACTCAAAATAAAGCTCGGTACAAAACAACGGTTACTACACGTACAACTTTCAACAAAATAACCAAAGCCAAACAAACTCTCGACGAAAACTTTTACATCGACATAAATGATATTCTACTAATGATACAATTCGTCAGATGCTAATAAAATTTATTCAAATTAACAAATTTTATTTAGTAGGCAAGTTAAACACACAGCCAGTGCCTCGTATTACTAACTTTTTTGAAAGCTCTCTTATTCTTAACGTTAAACCACCGCATGTTTCCTCTAATAGCTTATTTCCCGCCGTTACTAAGCACACACGCAGATGTCTCCAACCTTACTTGGATGGCCAACGAAAATCGTATGAACCAACTGGCGTTCATTGTTTTATCAATTTTTATATCATTATATTTCAACTAAATCTGGCGTTAAATGAACTTATGTTTTTTTAACAAAAAATCTATTTAGAGTTCTTCGTGTACTAGCAAGGTTAGTAATCTACAATATCAAAGTTGTAATAAGATATCTAATCTTGAAAACTAAATTCAACCGTGTAAATAAATTGTTTGGATTGAACTTCAACGTAATGAAAAATTTATAGTAGTTTCTTTTGTACACATCAACTAATCCAATCCTTAGTCAACTAAACTATTTATATTTTAGCGTCTCATTATGCAACTCTAAATAAATAAATCATTAACTCTTCGATTGAATTTTTTTTTTCGGTAATGTAATTCAGTAATTGCAATATATTTTATGTCATTAATCCACCACATGCGTTTCACAATTACAAATCCTATTGTCCAGTTATAAAAACCAACAATAAACAGATACATAAATTTAATTAATAAAAATCTAAACAATTAAAACCATTAATTAATTAAAGCAGATGTAATTAAAAGATCGCAAAAAACGCAACATAAAAACTCTTTACACTACTGCTCTAACCTATAAAATTATGTTTAATAAAATTGAGTCCCCACTGTACATGCACCAATTAATTTATATGCACAGTAAGTCCTGAAAACTATTATGTTCAAAACGTTATTGTCTATTAAGTAAAAAAAACCATCAAAATAAATATATTTTAATTGTTGAATGTGCAAAAAATGTCACAACTACCAATTTACAATTAAAAGTTTTTGTTGACACATCCGACGTTTGCACACAGTTTAACATTAAAATAGTAGGCATTTAAGTTTTGTATCAGTAGAAATTTAATAACTAATTTATATCTTTATTATTCTCTAGACTAAATTACATTTAATATAAACACAATTTCCAAACAAGTACGACTTAGCAAAACACCATATGTTGGCATCCAAATTTTCCTTTGTTTGAATAAATTAGTTTTTTTTTTTAAATTTAATATTACTGCTCATACGTTTTTACTTACTTCTCCAATTACAAAAAAATAAACTATTAAACTGCAATTAAAAACTGTTACATAATAAAATAATAAGATTAAATAATATCTTCAATTTTATATTCGCCCGGCGCATCCACCATTTTAACTTATTTTTGCCGGTTAATTTTTATAATTTGAAATTTGTTAATAAGCTCTACAATCAATTTAAACAATATTTTTTCTAATAATGTTTAATAACACTACTTGATTACACAAAAATTAAAAACATAATTAATTTTTTAATTTAAAAATTATTTTCGCGGCGCATCCAGCATCTTTATGTTTCATTGATTCTTCTTGGAATTTTGAGATTGAATAGGGTAATGTTTGTCCATGTGATGCAATCGTTTGTGTTATTCGGTTTGATCGCGATTGTGTCGAAATTCTTCCGGAAGGGTCCGGAAGTGATGAATCTGTGTCAGTGTTAAGAGCGATCCATCGACAGTTAAATAAAATTAGTGTCAGAGTGCATGTAAATATCGATGCGCCCATGTGTTTATTTGAAGTAGAGAGAACATGCAGGGCAAATTAATGCTGTAGGCGAGTGTTAAGGGTGAGCCTCGTCTGGCAAACCGCGACCGGCCGTCATCCGAAAGCCGGCGCGCATACAAGAAATCAATTTAACGAGTGAAGAGTAGCGATGCCGTAAGCCGTATAAAGGAATACGTTATTGGCGATAAGATGGACGAGCGTGTTGATTGCACGGCCCGACGCCCGGCCACATTCCGCTATGCGCACGAAGCACATCCTGTAGGGAAACGTTTTAATAACACGTTTAAAAATAAAAGAGCGCCCGCTATCAGCCGGGAATTAAAGGATATTTGTCATTCATGATGTTTCATCGAAGCACCGCTACCCCGCTAGTCTTTCTCATCAAAGTTTCAATGATTGTGTATTGCGAAAGTAAGTGTGAACACTTACGATCGACTTGCAACCTACTACAGATAAAGCTTTTATAAAGTGAACAATCGTATGCGGCGCGTTCGCGCCGCCACCGCGCGCTACCCTTAAACTAATGGCTTTTAATAAGAACCCGCCTATAAAAATGTTGATTTATTATTAGTTTAGACGATGATTCCTCGCAAATTTTTGCCAAATTTTTTACCGCATAATTAAAATATTTTTCATCCTGAGCCGAGTTTTGGAAAAGTTCATGTCTCGGCGCTATCTTCACCGTAATAGATAAAATGCCTCGTAATAGTCGCCTTTAAACCTAACAAATAGTCCGTTATCACGGCAGGCGCGCCAAGAAATCGTATAATTGTTTCGAAATCACACTCTTTTATCTTGTTGACGCGTGACGATACATACAAATCCACTCGATTCCGAATACAACCAAACAAACACTCCCAACCTACCGTAAAACGCGTCAGATTTTAATACTTCGTACCTAGGAATGCGAGTCGTGCATATGCAGCCGTCGAAAGTTTGTGCGAAAGTTTGCGCTGAGACGGAGTTTGCCGGCGAAAAGTCCCGTTGCTCGCAGCACAAACACTGGTCATATACTGAAAGTGCACCGCGTGCCTTTGCTCGAAAGCCCGCGACCGCCACCGAGCCGGGCATCGAGCCTGTGGGAGCGGCGTTTCACCACGCCCCCAAACACTGAAACAAATGCGACGAGGAGTGAAGTAACTGTTGCTCTTGCAGAACGCGGCTGGAGGGATGCTCCCTTACGGAAATCTGCACAGGAATGCAATTTCATCAAAGCACACAACAGCGTTGTGTTTTGAGTCCAGATCACAGGGCTCGGCCACATGGAAAACAAAGTTATAAGTCGTGGTTACAGTTTCATTATACCAGTTGAGAACGGCACGGTTGTCGATGACCTACAACGATCACAACGATTGCATACGGAGCAATCTGACAAATCTCGGCTCGAGTGCCTGTTCACTGACAAAAGGGTAATTAATAAGCACACGCTTCGAAAGCCTCCAACAGCACAACTTCGACAATACCAGCCGCAAACGTCTCGACACGACCAAAACGCATTTCCAACCACTATCACCACCTAACATTACAAAAATTTAAACTTACACCCATTACTAACAAAACTTTATTTTGATTACTTGAGCTACGAGGCCCACTAGAAAAAAAATCTACCTATCCATGAAAAAAACAATTGAAATGCACAAACATAATTTATCAAGTAGTGCCATATATTCATTACCTCCAAAATTTGAGTTAATTGTGATAATTGGTTTCCAATTTATAAAGAAAATTAACAATAAAAATGAGCAATTTAAAATTAGAGTAACGCAGTGCCATAAAATTTTGACAAAAGAGGGCCATTAACCGAAAACAATCCGTGAGAGAATGAATGCTGTCTGTCTATAAGAATGATACAGCATTACATTACACAATAATATTTTGGCCGAAACAATTACGATGGAGACGAGAATCCGTCGAAGACGATTCTCTAAGTGTTTTTTCGGGACATCAGGAGCATCTTTCTCATTAAATGTTTGCCAAAAAAGAAAATATGAAAACACGTTAAAAATTTACGTAAAGCAATTCACTAGAAAAGACTTATTTTGTGAAGTGTTTCTGTTGCATCACAATGCGACCGTGTATAAGGCTGCTAAAATTAAGCCAATTTTGTAGCTTCGTTAAGACAGACCATCCCTCTGTATAGTCCGGGCTTGGTTCCGTCTAACTTTTATCTCTTTCGATAACTAAAGAAAAATTTTTGAAAACGTCGGTTTTACTCTGATGATGGCCTGAAAGCAGCCAACGACAATTTTTTTGAGAGTCAAGAAAAAAGGAAGGAGGAAAAATGTAGGGGGAGATTATATTGAAAAATAAAATTATGAAAAAAATTATACGTCTTTTGTTTCGTTGCTAGGTAGATTACTTTTCTAGTGCCCCTCATATTACCACTCATTTTAAACTGTTACATAATCAATTTCAGCTCAACACACACGCTTAGCTTAGTAACTTTTTAATAATAACGTGTAATAAAAATGACTATCTCTCTCAAAGCAACCTTGAACCTCTTGCTGAGCTTTGTTAAAATAGTGATTACTTTTATTGTTCTAAAAACAATCAGAATACAACAATAAACTGGTTCACAATTTGAAACTTGCACTATTTCATATAATTTTAAAAGTAAATCACAGATTTAATAATAACTAAAAGATTTTTGCTTTTATTACATCCCATTTGCTTATAACAAAAAATAATATTTTAATAAATTGTATTAATTTGTAATTATTATTAATTAATTATTAGTTAACTAAACGTGAAAACGTAAACAAAATTTCTTTTAGTTGTGATAAGACAATAAATTAAATTATTTGCTTTGGCAAAAAATATTCTCTAACATTATCATTTTAAGTGACCTCAACCCAACGGGTGTAATTATGGTAATCTGCTTACGGTTATCAAAATTTATATGTACCATTTATAATTAAGCGTCCAAATATTCTCCCAAACAGCATTTATTATTACTTGATTAAAAATGTTTTAGGTTATTGTTAATTACTTATTCGCTAATTTATTAACAGTTTCCCCAATTTCCGACCATTAAAGCAATAAAGTAAATCCAGTTTATCGAAAAATGTTTGATTCAATTAGTGAAAATTTCGATTTCAATGACTCGATTTTAAAATAATTAGGTTAAAAATTTAAAAATAGATATTTACAAAAGGTTGTGCTTCGTCTAAAATCACGTCGATAAGTCAACCGAAAGTTTGAGTCCAACAATTTCTCTTCCTACGAGTTAATGATGAAAGAAAATTAGATCAGCCCAATAAATTACTCGAAAATTATTGAATTTTATATGGCAAAATTAAATTAACTGGTGGTTACTTTTGTACTCAGCAAATAACTGGTTCATTTTTCCTATGAGGTATCTGTAAATACCTAAAATCAACAGTTATACATATTTGAAAATTTGTTACTTATTATTACCTAGAATCCACATAATAAATTCAAGAGGAATTCAAAAGAAAACAATAAGTTAGTGAATGGAATTCGTACGTTTCCAGTAATTTAAAAGTAAATACTTTTATAATAGTATCCTCACTAACATTTTAATCTAGATACTCTTCTTCACATGAAATGTTTAAGTCTCACTTTAACGACAAAAAAAAACAAATCTGTTCTAGTATATTTGTAAACTAATTAATTAAACGAAGTTAGTGTGTATGACAGATTTGAATTTAATTAGTTATTTCTCGTCATAAAACTTCATTATTTCATTATTACCAGCCGATTGTTGCAGCGTTCTTGTTTCTGGTTCTCTTATTTTCTGATCGATTTAGTTAATCTGCATGGCACGATAAAAGTGGATGCATTTCAGCGAGGGTAAAATGAAATAAAGATTGAGTGGAGTATAATTTCGGTTATTCTGACAAAATAAGATGCACGAGTATAATTTGGGTACATAAATTAGTGGAATCGCGGAAGCGTTGAGGTGAGAGTCGGGCGGAAAAAGCAGGCTTTCGGCGCTTAACCAAAAATGAGAGTATTTTGTAGTATTGTTGTGTGGACGCATGTGACCATGTTATCGACTCCGGTTGCAAATTGTTTAACGCGAAGGCGGGCGACAGGCTGCAAACGGGGCAGGGCAACAATGTGGTTGCTAGAGATGCTTAATATACTAAGGCTGGAGTAATGAACGTAAGATGAAACAGAAACAACGATAAACGTCCTTAACACCTCGTGATGAATAGCTTAAAAGTAATATAGTGAACTCGCACGGTTGTGTAGAGTGTTCGTCGTCGGTTGCAGGTCGAGTTATTAAACAGTGGCAGTATTGAGTGACGCGCAAACCCGAAAAGGGAGGTCTCCTCAAATAACAATCAAAGACGATTGCCTAGTGCCGGGTCACCGGGCCACCACTTCGCCACCATAACTCAGCGGCCCTCTATCGCACTCTGCCAGACCACATTTAATCCCTTACTATTCTCTGCCCCCCGCACACACTGTTATAAATAAATTTGTTACCGAGTCCTTTATGGAGGCGTAATCATATAAAGAAGAAATACGGTATATTTTATGATCACGGAAACCAGGCGAGGCATAAATGTTCTATAGCAACTATTACAACACTCAAGATTGGCATTCTGCGTGAAAGCAGAGAAGCGCACCGACGGCAACGGCGACGGTAGACGCACGATGCAGCAAACATGCATATAAATTACCAACGATTTTTTCCTATCATAAAAATAACAATTTTCTTGCCGTAAACCAATTTTATTCCCCATTCCATGTATACTCATAAAAACCGTTTTGAAGAGAGCAGTAATCGTACGGTTAACCGACAAACATACGTGAATTTGATGAGTTAGTGCAGGTCGCTTCCTTTCTCACCAGGCAATTCACAACCCAAAATTTACAAACTGAGATCACACCTCAAAGCAAACAGACCAAAACAACACAAAACAATAACACAGCCACTAACGACAGTAAATAATTCTCACTTACATTTTCTAACAACCACACCAGGGCTACTCTCAAACTATTTCACCTAAATCAATCTCATAATTTAAATGTATTTACAACAAAGTCAAAATATAACACAATCATCGCTTCGCTTTATTTACATAAAATATCGAATCGATCTCTCTCTAAAATCAGCCTTATAATAACAAAACAAGCACAAAAAAGAAGCCTCGCAACCTTAAAAATCATTAATTAGAAAAATTGGTTATGGTAATATCTTACCAAATTGACGTTTTCTTTAACTCTTAGTTATATTTTGATATAAATTAAACAGCCTCCCTGTTATAAAATAATTGGAACGAAATTCTGTATTCTTTTCACCAATATTAAAAGGGAAAAATTGTGATAATTTTATGAATAATATTAATAATAAAGTTTTTGTAACAAAATTCAAAACATAAAGTATTTTCGGTAAATAACTCTTTTAACAGGCTGTTCCAGCTAAACCCTACATTAGAAGTATTGATATTTATCTAAAATTTTGTATATAACCATTATCGGTTAGGTCCTGCTCAACAAAAATATTTTCAAGGTGACGGCACTTTCGGTTACACCGTTATTTTAAATAGAAAGCTATGTTTTTATGCGTGTTTGAATTATTCAAGTAACTTTGAAAGAGTTTGCATCAGATTTCCCTATACCTAAGGTTAAGCTGAGGTTTAACCAATGTCGAAATATTTCGACTTTTTAAAATTTTTTGGATTTGCACCTTCCTCTTGAAAAATCGATAACTCTACCATTTTTTATTAGATATTTTAAATTCGTATTTGGACATATGAAATTATAAATATAAATTTTTTGGTGTATTGATAATTGGAAAAATAATTAACAAACCCCGAAAATTTAAGTTTCCGTTTGTGACTTAATTTTAAAATTTGACACATTTTAAAACTAGAAAAAAATCGCCATTTTTGTTTTATTGAAATTGTGACTCTGACTATTATTCGGTTACCAGAAAAAAGTCCAACAAAAAATGCGCACAGGAAGAAAGTTCACAAAAAAGAGCCCACAAACATAAATGCCCACAAGAAAAAAACCACACAGAA